ATGTGAAATCTTGATACAAGGGCCTTAATGTTTTTCATTCTAAGGTATGTTGCAAAGTGATTTAGATTTTAAGCCTGGATGCCATCTCTGCTTGATAGCCTGGCGGCCGTGCACAGCCTTCTCAAATCCAGTACACTTGAGTTTGTGTTGTTCTTTTACTAAAGGGGGCCAGTAACAGACCATAGTATAAAGCTCCCAGCCCAGAGCCTCATGTTTGGTTAGTCTGACATAAATGTTAGCACTGGTTATGTAAGTGGTTTCACAACTGTGGCTGTGGTTGGAGCGCCTAACTCTATTTCTGAACCAGGTGTTTCATGTGGCTGCGGTATTTTATCTCTAGAGGGACTGATGAGAATGGAGACTCTAGTCTGTTTCCATACATAGTCTAACCATACACTAGGAATTTTTAACATCATTCAGAGACCAGTTGAGTTAACCAGTATAGCAGTTGAACATTTAGAGATGTGTTATTAATTTTTTTTAAATTGCTGTACCACAAGGACAGATTTCAGATTATAAACTAAGACTTAAACTGTGTTCAAGGTCAGTTTTCTATTAATGAAAAAAAGGTTTTGGTTTTTTTTTTAATTAGCACATATTAGTTGTCGGGGGGTTAATTGTGACATTTTCATGCATACATATAATACATTTTAACAAAACTAATTCCTCCATCTCTCTCCTTCATCCTGTCTCCCAGCTTCTTAAAACAGTTTGAATAGGTTTAATTGTTCTGTTTTCAAAAATGGCTATAAATTTAGTTCCACCATTTTCACACCTCTACTTCCAGCTTCTTGCTAGTTTATTGTAGATAAAAGTCTCTGATTTGTCTGCCTGGGCTGGGCCTTGATCCTCAAATCTCAATCTCCTGCATAACTAGGATTACAGATATGAGCCACCAGTGCCTGGTCTAGGATTTAGTGGGAGGCCAGCCTAGGCCAAGGTAGCAAGAAGACTGTCTCAAAAACAAAATTCCAGAAGGGAACTGGGGACATAACTCAAGTTGCAGAGCACTTTCCTAGCTTATGCAAGACTTTGCATATTTGTAGTTCAATCATCAGTGCTACAGAAAAAAAAAATTAAAAAGTAGTACAAGCTAGTTTTTGACCGTTGAAAAACACTTAAAATTTTTTTTTCTTTTTCTTTTTTTCCCCTCCCCTTCCCTTCCCTTCCCATCTTCCCCCCCCGCCTCTTCCCCCAATTCTCCTCCCCCTCCCAACAAAGTTGTAAAGTTCGTTTTCCACATAACGACTTGTACATCTCATTGTTGCAGTGGGTCCACCTGTATCCCTATTTAAACGATTTGTTTTTTCCCTTCCCCTCCACAAATTATACCGACATCAAATACAGTGAAAGCAGGGGTTGTACTGTGGGGGAAAGACATACAAAGCAACAAAGAAATCATCTTATAAATGTGTTAGAAACAATCGCATGAAAGGAAAAAAAACATTTGAATACATATCTTAGGATTCATTTCCCTAACATCAACTTATCTTACCTTTTCTGCTTGACTCAGACATATATCTAGTTATTGCAAATAAGGGAAACCATGGGACCTATGTTTCTTTGGGCCTGGCTTACTTCACTTAATATAATTTTTTCCAAGTCTTTCCATTTCCTAACAAATGGGGCAATGTTATTCTTTCTGATGGAGGCATAGAATTCCATTGTGTATATATACCACATTTTCTTGATCCATTCATCTACTGAGGGACATCTGGGTTGGTTCCATATTTTAGCTATGGTAAATAATGCTGCAGTAAACATAGTCATGCTGGTAGCTTTAGTGTGGTCTTGTTTGTGATCACTTGGATAATGCCCAAAAGTGGGATTGCTGGGTCATAGGGAAGCTCTAATTCTTATCAAGGCTGGGAAGGTGGCTCAGTGGTAGAGCGCTTGCCTTGCATGCATGAGGCCCTGGGTTTGATTCCTCAGCACCACATAAGCCAAAAGAAAAAAGTCGGAAGTGGCACTGTGGTTCAAGTGGTAGAGTGCTAGCCTTGAGCTGAAGAGCTGAGGGATAGCGCCCAGGCCCAGAGTTCAGGCCCCATGACTGGACCCAAAAAATTCTTACCAGAAACCTTGTATTTAAGACTTTATACTGTCATTCTCCAGAGCAGGCAGGTAACCAGACATACAGAAAGCTTTTCTTTTTCATATTCAAAAGTGGAATGCTATAACTGTATATCAGATGTTGCTGTGATTTTTATAGTACTATGGTTCGAACTTAGGACTTCATACTTGGTAAGCAGGCACTACCATTTGAGTCATGCCATCATTCTTACCCTGCCTTTTTTTAAACATATATTTTTAGTTAGGGTCTATTGTTCCTGCCTGGAGCTGGTCACAGTCCTTTTCTTGTGCTTTCCAAATAACTGGGACTACAGGCTTGTGTTGCTACATCTGGCTTGTTGGATGGGATGGGAAGGGACGGGAGGGTCTCACTAACCTTATGTGCAGGCTGGTTTTAAACTGTAATACTTCTCATATCTTCTGCCCAGGTGTCTGGGATTACAGGAATGAGGCATGACACTTTGGCCTGTAATAATTACTAAAGCTTTATTCTTAAAACTATATTATCTTTGGATGCTTAAGCCTTACATCTGTTTCCCCAGGCAACCTCAGTTAGACCTTTGCTCCTAAAAAGATTGGATCCTACACTTAGTGCTTTAGCTGACCCTACATGAGGATTTGCTGGGGACATGACATGTACCTTTTTGTTTGGTCAAGGCTGGTAGACAACTAGCGGTTGCTGAATGCAGTGAGTGTAGTAAAGCTTTTGAACCAGAAGGCTCAGAGCACCTGTCAGGATCAGGCTTTGTCAAGCCCCTTCACTCTGTCCTTTTTTGCCTCTCTTCCAAGCTTTCCAAATTTCAGAAACTTATCTAGTGTCTCCAGAAAAAAGAGTAAATACCAGCAAGTTCCTAAAGCAAGTAGCTTCTTCGTTCTCTACCTCAGCTTGCCTTAAAAGGCAACTCATCAAAAAATGTATTTTGACTTTTACAAAGACATTTAGATGATCAGGGATATAACCCAGGTTGCTTGAGAACCCAGGGTGAGTGCTTGCCTAGCATGTGATGGGCAAGGTCTTGGTTATATCCCCAGCACTCAGTAGGAAATGGGCATTTACGAATCCTCTTGAGGTTAAAAGATTAACGAGGCAGGAGTGATAGGCATTTGATAACACTAGGGTAATTTCACATTTAAGCTTTTAAACAGATTTTTTAAGGTGCTATTATTTACCACAATTTTGAGAGAATAGCAAAGTGGGGGTCTCATCCTAAATAGCTATATTGAAGTACACTCATCCAACAAAACACCAGCCTACATCACCATATTAGGGAGGCCTACCCTGGCCACTCTGTCTAGTAGCTGCTAGACCCCAGGACTTTGTCTCTAACTTTGTGGAATTCGGATACAATTATCTGTTTGCCCTTCTAGATAGACTGTAAGTTCTACAATGAAGGGCACCTGTGCATTCCTAGCTCTTAGCATAATGCCTGACATGCAATAAATCTTATGGAACCATTGCATCCATAAGTAGAAGAAATGATAAGATGTTTTTTTCTATATCTATACAATGATTCTAAAATTTCATAGCTGGTAATTTTAGATTTCTTGGCCATTGTTGCTCTGGTCAATATATGAGATGCATTTGACTTTTCAGAGCTACTCTTGGTGGTATGGGTAGGGATCCTACCTAGTATTTGCTCTTGACCAGTTTAGATAAACTTTCACTTGTTTTAAATAGTATGGGCTTGAGATGAGGAAGAGGAGTAATGTGGAATGCAGTGATAGAAAGAGATGAGTAGCCAATCTATACACAGAGAAAATGAGGGTTTATACACAGTAATAAAAGGAAGAGGTAACAGCATAGGAATTTGGGTTGAAATTATGTGTAGTTAAGTGCTGTGTGTGTGTGTAAAATGGAGCAAAACAGTTGGCATAATAGATAATGGGTAAAAGATGAAAGAGATTTGTAACAAGAGAGATTAGTGTTACTTCGAGAAAATGTGGGGTTGTGTGGGTTTATGGCACCAGATTCACCAATCATATTTCCATTATCTGTGTTTGTGAGGTTTGTTTAAAATGTTACTTTCAGCTTCTCAGTCCCTCTTCCAGTCTACCTCTTGTACTTTTGTACCAACCAGATAACCATTACCTTGTGGAATTATGGATTTTTGTGCAATTATGTTACCTGTGAGTACAAAAGGGCCAGGAGGAATTCCACTGTCACTCCTACTGCATCCCAGAAGCATCCTGCTCACTCCTGAAAGTCTCCCAAACATACTGAAAATTCTCTTCCCCCTCCTTTCCCCACCCACACTGGGGACTAAACCCAGTGCCTCACTCCCAGAGGAGAGGTGAGTGCTTCTCAGTGAGGCTGAGCTACACCTTCAGCCCTTCCAAGTTTTATTAAGAACCATTTATGTTGCATTCAAATAAATCCTCAGCAAAAAGTAAAGGTAACTCAATGAAGTTTATTTTTTTCTGTCCTACTTCTTTAAATGAGAAAAACACCTTTTCTGTAAATGTTCCAGCTTCTCAAAAGGAGTGTGAGTAGTGATATTTAGTTTGTGAAGATATTTAATAAAGTAAAATGGTATATGCTTTTTGTATTATAACAATAGGCTTTCATTTCAGTTGGTTTCATTTGAACATAATTTTAAGGTTATATCAAATCTGATTAAGAAATAGTATTCTGGAGAGGGAGAGGGAGGGAGTGCCGGGGGAAGGGGGGAGATATGGGAAAGGATGGGAAGGGGAAGCAAAGGAGGAGGCAGCAATGCTTGATGAGAAATATACCCATTATCTTGCCCATGTAATTGTAACCCCTCTGTATGGTATTTTTCCACAAAAAAAATTAAAGCAAAAAAAAAACTAAAGAAATAATAGTCTACCTAGAGTCGATAATTTTTAAGACTATTTCTGGTTACAGTTAAAGTTTAAGCATCAATGATAGTTCAGTGATACATTTTACCTATTATCTTATTTCTTTTTAGTCTGTAAGACTTGCATTGTCCAGCACTTTGAAGATAGCAATGATTGTCCAAGGTGTGGCAACCAAGTTCATGAAACAAATCCATTAGAAATGTTGAGGTAAGGAAATGTATAGTTTGTCTAATTAGACTAATTTTTGTTGTGTATCATACTATTTTCGATATTTTAACTCAGATGTTTTAGATATTATGAATTTCAAGGAATTTTATTTCATTTTTAAGTATTTTATTAAAAGTTAAAAATAAGACTATTACATTTTTGGAATATACATTTGCAGGTAAACCAACTTTTTATGGGGGCTTTCTACATGAATTTAGTTCAGTTATTCGCAGATGCATATGCTATAGTGCTTTCTTACTTCATGCTTTGTTCATTGGGGAGAAAAAGTTCATCAGCCACGAGTGAAAATGGAGATGGGTAGGAGAAAGAAGTGTGCTATCCAGGGGAGCATGAGGATAAACGCTTAGGGAACTTTGGTGAGATTCCTGGAGGCTTCACAGGAACGTTGGAGCTGTGAATCTGAATCTGAAAGGACATGATGATTTTCTCTTCCAGACACAGTGCAAGTGCAAATTTGTGAAAAGGCAGATAACCTAAAGTTATAACTATAGCTATGAAATAATTTTGAACAAGAGGTGGATTTAACCAGGAGTTATAGTTGTATGAAGTAATTTTGAGCAAGAGAGAGGAGAATCAATAGTGTATGTAATTGAGGAGGAAAGACTGAGTTCAAGGCTAGCCTGATGTACAAACTTAAATCCTTTCCAAAAAAGAGAAGAAAAAAGAAAATGTGTGAGGAAGAGATTTTATTGACTGACCACGAATAAGATCAGACTTAAACTGACTTAAGAGGACCCAAAAGATGTAAGAACATGGGGTTGGAGATGTGGCTCTGATGTTATGAGCAAAAGAGTCAGGTACTGACTTTGAGTCCCAGTCTTAGGACCCTGCCTTCTAAACAAAAAGACAAAAGAACATTAAGGAATGTCTCTGTGGAAAGAACTGAAACTAATTGATTCCTGATGCTTATATGTAGTAAAAAAAAAAAAAAAAAAACAGAGAGAGAGAGATTATTTGGAAGGCAAAGGTGTTTGAGATTAAGTCTATAGACAGTGAAAAGGAAACAGTTACTATGCATGTATATACGCATAGACACACAAATATACACAAAGCTGACTGCAGGGACCTCTTCCCCCCATTCCCCCCACACGTGCTAGGAATTGAATCCAGCCAAGCATGCACTCTAGCACTGAGTACACCCCCACCTGTGTAATTATTTATAATGATAATTGTTTGAACAGTGTTAGTAAACAAAAATAAAACTAGGTTAGGTAAATATAGATGAACAACAAAACTATATTGGGAAGGTGGGATTAGGAAAATGTGTTGGGAGGAAAGGGATAGCAGGATGATGGATGAAAACTAAACCTTTATCCTTCCTAAAAGGAAGTCAGAGAAATCTATAATTCTTTATTTTGGGGGGGGGGTCCAGTCGTAGGGTCTGAACTCTGGGCCTGGGTGCTGTCCCTCAGCTTTTCAGCTCAAGGCTAGCGCTCTACCACTTGAGCCACAATGGTACATCAGGCTTTTTTCTGCTTATATGGTGCTGAGGAATAGAACCCAGGGCCTCATGCATGCAAGGCAAGCACTCTACCACTGAGCCAACTTCCCAGCCCGTAGAGAAATCTAAACAGCAGTAAAAATAATGTCTTTTTAAACCAGAAGCCAGTGGCTCATGCATGTAATCCTAGCTACTCAGAAGGCTGAGATCTGAGGATGGCAGTTTGAAGCCAGCCTGGGCAAAAAAGTCCTTGAGCCTTCTATCTGCAGTTAACCACCGGAAAACCAAGGTGGTGCTGTGGCTCAAAGTGATAGAGTGCTTGCCTTGAGCAAAAAAGCTCAAGGACAGTACTCAGGACCTGAGTTCAATCTCACAACTGACAAATAATAATAATAATAATGGTTCAGTCCCACAACTGACAAAAATTATAATAATGATAATAATAATGTATTTTTAAAAATAGAAATATAAAAGTAAACACTAGAAGAAAGATGTTGGATTTAACAATTACCTCGAGGACTACAGGAGTCAAGAAACAGAGAGGATGGGCCTGAAACATTAGGTTGTAAAAAAAAGTTTGAATTTAAAATTTTATATATCTATTTGATTTTAAATGATTTAAAAAGAGAGAGGGAACTTAAGATCATTCATTTTGAGCCTATCTGGAAGAGGTGTATCATGTAAAATTTTAATTTAAAAAAAGTAAGGTATGAGGAATGTTGAGTATTTTGTTGGCATGCGGATGAACTATTCTTCACAGGTGAACAAGAGGAGGTAATTGACTATTCTCACTATTGGAAATACAGAGCTGAAGCTTAGCTGAGAGAAATGATATACAGACAGAAAAGGTTCACTGCCTCCATGTTACTTTCAAGTCACAAAAGTAGATGAGGTCTTCAAGGAAGATGGACCATTAAACATTTCAGAGTACAGAATACAGAGTTCAGCAAATGAGTTGGGTGTGGTACGAGACATTGGTAAGGAGGATTGTGGTCCAAGGCTAGCCTCGTAAAAGAACTTAAAGCAAAAAGAGCCAGAGTGTGACTCAATGGTAGTATACTTGCTTAGCAAATGCAAGATGCTGAGTTCACACCCCAGAGCCATAAATAAGTAAATAATCTCATTCAGTATTAAGAGTTCAGGAGGATAAAAGAAGTAAAATACAGAGGATATGACAGAATATAGAATACATTTCAGATTTTTTTTCTCCTATAGGAGAAAAGACACCAGTTAAACAAGAAAAATAGTTTTTTTAGATGTGGAAACGCGCATGTTTGACATCAGAGGGAAGTGATGCTCTTGAGCAGGAAAACATGAAGTTAGAGGCACATGTTGTGGGGACAAGAGAACGGGCCAGAGAAATGAAGCCATGGAAAGAAAGGGTGCCACCACAGGAAAACATCAATAGAAATGCTTAAATTTTGAATCTAGGAAGGCAGAATGGCAGATGGTCTAAATTGTTCAAAAAGAGGAATAGAAATCAAAGTTGTGGTAAAGATTTTGAAGGGGTACATCATCTGCATAGCATAACCCATAAATTAATGCTTGAGAAGAAAGCACTCATTCTCCCTCACCAGTCCCTGGCTTAGCACTTGGTTCTGGGCTCAGCTTGTCTCACTCCTGCAACTGCAGTTGGCCCCACCGTCCATTATCCAGGAGGCTGCTTTGCTGCTCTTAGCTGGATTCAGCCATGTGTTAGGAATGAGTCATCTAAGAATGGGACTGAGCCTCAGCAGGGCAATGTGGCTCTCCCTTTCATCCTCTCATCCTCAGGGTTTGTTCTGCTGCTTAACAGATTCTGGGGGCAAGAGAGCAAGCAAAAGCCTGGCGTGCCTCTTGAGACTCAGGGTTAGAATTAAGCGCAAAGTCATCTACATGGCATTCTTTGATCTACAAATTGCGTGCATCTCAGTCCATAGTTTCAGGGTTGGGGTTTCTCAGCATTCTGCACTTCACCTCTAATCAGAACATCAAAGGCATGTTCACTTAGAGGTAGGAAGTGAGACCAGGTTTTTATCATTCTAGGCGAGAAATAGATATGCTGTGTATACTGAAGGGTTTGGCGTTGTAGGTGTGCAAAATCATGTGTGTTCTCTGCTTCATAGTAAGTACACAGTAGAAATCTCAAACTGTTTGTGTGTTACATTTTTGTATCTTCATTGTTAGTATTTCTCTCCTTCCCCACCCCTGAAGGTTGGATAATACCTTGGAGGAAATTATATTTAAACTAGTACCTGGACTACGAGAACGTAAGTTACTCTTTAGATTTTAAACTTCTGTGCTATAAGAAATAAGTATTTCTAATTAAAAAACATTCCCTGCTTGTTGCTATGGATTTTATACTCTTTTTTTTGTTTAATTAGAAGAACTTGAGCGTGAATCTGAGTTTTGGAAGAAAAATAAACCTCAAGAAAATGGACAAGGTAACTTTCTATGTCTGTGTCTGACAGAAATTCAGGCTTTTGGTTGCTATCTTCAAAGTGATAGTTACACCCGAATAGAACTCATGTACCCCTTTAGATTTTATCTAAATTCATGTAAATTTGAAGACATTACAGTTGAGAGTAATTGTAAAGAGGGAATTGGACTTTGAAATGAGAAAAGAAAGATAAAGAGAAAACTGAATAGGTAATTATAACTGAATAGGTATATATAGGCAATAATATCTGAAGAGAAAAAGTAATCTCACATTAAGAAGTCTTAGCTTGCAACTAAAGAGAGTTCTTGTTTATTTTATAAGTTCATTTTATTAGGAGACAGAAGTGACATGTGTCTGAAATCTAGATCAGGGGATTTTGCTATGCTCTGATACACAGAATGAAGTTTCTCATAGATAAAGCTTAGATGACATCAACTTACCTGTTCAAGACATTTTTTAAAATAGTTTTATGTGCTTATTGGTATTTTGCCATCACCTATGTCAAGTGTCTAAATTCCTCCTCTGGGTGCCAGGTAATTTTTAATAATTTAGCCAACATAAATGACCAGGAAAAGAATTTATGTACATAATCCACACAAAGGGGTATCTGAAATTATATCTTTTTTTATTTTCACTTTTTAAAAATTATTTTCACTCAAAATGTCCAAAGTCTAATGAGATCTGTAAGTACGTGTATGTGTCCTTACAGACTCATACCAACCTTAGTTTTCTTGTAAGATCACAGAATTGCCAAGTAAAGTAAACATCAAGATGGATGAGAAAATGCTGTAAAATGGATAGTGGCTTTATGAGTTAGATTTAACTAGACTGTTTCCTAAGTGGAGAGGGAAGATTGAGAATAGTTTTGATGACTAAAATAAGGCAACAGTCTAGCTGCCTTATTTGCCCATTGTGTTACTGTGTATTAAAAATAGCATGAATGTTATTCATGAGCAAAGAAGCTACAATGACTTAACTGGAAGGCTTGTTTTAATTAAGTGTACATTACAATTAGACAGCAGTGCTGTAGTAAAATATAGAAAATAGAAAGTTAATTAAATGTTTCAGTTTTTAATATAACGTATTCAGGAGTCCAGAAACACAGGAATTGTCCTCAAAAATTATATGTAGGTTTAGTCTATGAGTTCTTTTTGTTTGTTGTTGTTTTGTATCATAGATTGACTTATGAAAGACTATAACCAGGTTTGTGTATTTTATCTTCCTTTTCTCATTGCTTCCCCCTTCTAAAAGACTTTTTGTATTTTTGTCTTAAGTAGAGAATTTGGATCTTTTTTTGGAGCTGGGAGCTGGGGATTTGGGTAAAGGCTGCTTGTTTGTGAGTTCTCTGGGAATATGGAGAGGAAAGGGGAGAGCATATAGAAAAAAGAGCCTGCCTCACCTCTCTGAGGGTTTTCACTGGAGGGAGGGCTGCAGTGTCATACTCGCCTAGCTCTAATCAGTCTCATATTTTCACCAACTGATTTTATGCATATTTAATAATTTGAAAATTTAAAATATAGACAGAATATTTTATAATTTAAACAACCAGTACTTGATTTGAAATTTGAAAACAAAAATTATATTATTACATTTGAAAGTATCTTTACTGGCTGCCTTTTAAGTAATCAGTAATCTGTAATTGCAATAATTTTTGTGACCAAAATATAGTTAATCCAGGATCATTCCTTTGGATGTCCCAATAAGCCTAGAAATCTTAAGCTGTTTTGTTTTTGATGGATGTTTTTCAGAAATATTTCCATTGCTGAGTTAAAGTAGTAGTTAAAAATACTAAACTACTCAGTTATTAAAACTATTAAGAAGTGTTCTCAAAGTTTTTAATATTTTGATAAGTAATGTATTTTGCTTAACTTTAAACTTTGAGTTGTGTCTTCATTTTGTTTAAATTGTAAAGATGATACTTCAAAACTCGACAAACCAAAAGCAGATGAGGAAGGTGATGAAAATCAGGATGATAAAGACTACCATAGAAGTGACCCACAGATTGCTATCTGTCTAGATTGTTTACGAAATAATGGACAATCAGGGGACAATGTAGTAAAGGTGAGTATTTTTTAATATACCAGTTTACTAGTAAACCCTTGTTAATTTATTGGAGAATTTTCTAATTCTTTTAAAAAAAAAAAACTTATTAACAAATCTAATAGAATGTCATTCTTGGCATTTGTTTGGTTTCCTCCTACCTCAACTCCAAACCATCCTTATCCAATCCTACCATCTAGTGGCTAATGTGGAATATCACAGCTGTAGTTCTTTCATACTCTTGCTGTGAGTTTACATGCATTGTTTCTTCCTTTTCTCAGCTCATGTAATGTCATGTCAGGCAATGATTAACCTAACCCTTTTATTCATTATCTTTAAATATTGTCTTTCATTGTTTTGCTTTTGTTTTCAATTCAGTAAACATCATGGCTAATATATTTATGAATAATATAATTAATTGATTTAGAAGTAGAATTGTGCAAAGTATTGTGAATTTTCAGATTCCTTAAAGGCTCTCTATTAGTTTTTATAGTATCTCCATTTCTGATCCTGTTACCTTCTGTCTGATTGTTGAATCATTTTTTCTATGAATTGTATTCTTTTTTATATTATTATTATTTTAATGGTGATGTTCACATGGGTTACAGTTATGTAAGTCAGAGAACGAGTATATTTCTTTTTGAACAGTGTCACCTCTTCCCTCATTTTCTCATACTTTTCCCCCCAGACTCCTCTTCCCCACAAGTTGTAAATTTCATTTTCAGTGTAGTGTCTAGTAAGTATCACTGTTACACTTGTCACACCATTTCTGTAGTCCCCTTACCCTCCCCCAAACAGATAAACATATACAAGACAAAATTACAGAAATAAAAAAACAGTGCCAAACAAGAAAAAAAGCAAAATAACACAAAACCTCATTTCCATTTCTTGTAGTTCATTTTGATAAATATCATTTTATATGATCATATGCCCAAAGCTATTGAAACTTTGTGATCCTTTCCTAAGAATATCCTCCTTGGTCTCACTGTGTGAATGTCTAGAGTCTTGTATAACTTATCATGTCCACTTATATTTTTTATCTTTTATCATCCAGTGTGTTTACTTGCAGATTTATAGGCACATTTTAGTTACTACAAATAAGGGAAGCCATGCTCCTTATGTTTTTTGGGGGTCTAGCTTACTTCAGTTAATATAATTTTTCCAAGTCTTTTCATTTCTTACAAATGAGGAAATATCATTTGTTCTTATAGAAGCATAGAATTCTTGTGTGTGTGTGTGTGTGTGTGTGTGTGTGTGTGTGTGTGTGTGTTACATTTTCTTGAACCATCTATGCACTGCGGGGCATCTGGGTTCCCTATCTTGACTATGGTAAACAATGCTGCAATTAACATGATTGTATTGGTGGCTTTATTATGGCCTGGTTTGTGGTCATTTGAGTAAATGTCCAGAAGTGAAATTGTTGAGTCATAGGGAAGCTCTGTGTTTTATCTTTTTCTGTGTTTAGTCTTTTGTGAGACCTCCACACTGCTTTCCGCAGTAGTTGAACAAGTTTACATTCGCACCAACAATGTACTAGTGTTTTCTCTTTTGGCTACATCCCCACCAGCACCTTTTCTTAAAGGCTCTTTAAAACACACTACTCCCACCTACTGATTTTCTTTGGTGTTTACTACTTTAATAGTAGTTTTTTACCTATTAGGAAATGAAAACAAAATACTTTTTCATCAGATTAAGTCCTTTCAGTATCTTCCAACAAAGAATATATGTGAGCATGGTAATTCACTGAATGTTTATCCCTTACGTAAATATCAAACTATAATGATACAGTTAGAGAAAAAAAGTAAAAAGCCATCATTCAAAGACCCCCCCCCCTTATAGCCGGGCGCCGGTGGCTCATGCCTACAATTCTAGCTACTCAGGTGTCTAAGATCTGAGACTCACAGTTCAAAACCATCCTGGGTAGGAAAGTACATGAGACTCTTTATTTCCAATAAACCACCAGAAAACCAGAAGTGGCGCGGTGGCACAAGTGGTGGGGGGCTGGTCTTGAGCTGAAAAGCTGAGGAATAGCACCCAGGCCTAGAGTTCAGGCCCCACGACTGACCAAACCAAACAAAACAAAACAAAAACAAAGACCCTTTACACATACCAGCAAAAAATAATAATACAGTAAGATAATTGATTTGTTTAAGGGTGTTAGTTGGACAAGACATGTAATAAAGTCTTGTACCCAACTTTAAAGAACTGAACATTACCAACTCATCTGTTGCTTTTTGTTTTGGTATGCTATCTCTTCCTTTTTCATAAATGTTTTACTCAGATTTTGTGTTAACTGTTTGTCCCTGCCATTCACCTTTGTGGTCATCCTCTAATACATGGACTGTTATGGAATAAAAGCTAAATCAATAAAAAGGCTGAAGATCTTTTAATAAATAAACATGAAGTTTATTTCTCTGTATGATTTCTAGTATAAAAGTTAAGTACTGAATTAATTGATTTCTTTCTTTGTTTTTGAAATGTCTTACTATGTAGCTCAGGTTGCCTTCATACTTGCAGTCTTCTTTCCTCAGCCTCCTATATGCTGGGATAAACCGGCAAACGCTCTCAGGCTGAGCTTTATAAGCTGCTGGAGCAGGAAGAAAATAGATAGGAAAGCCTAGGATAGTTAGGATATGTGACAGATAAGAGAGAAAAATGGATTTGTACATTCAGCCCATTGTTTTCATGCAGTCTTGCATGTCTCCTTCACATTTGAAATGGTAGAGTGTATCTTTGCTCTAGATGTAATATTTTATGGGGGGCATGACTTGCTAGGAAGGCACTATACTTGAAGCCACCCTCCAGCCTGATTTGCTTTGCTATTTTTTGTGATAAAATGTTATGAACCATTTTACTCTGGCTGGAACCACAATCCTCCTGAGTTTAATCTCCCATGTAGCTGGAGTAGCAGGTGCAGACTAGTCTGCCCTATTGGTTGAGAGGGGAACTCATGACCTTTTTGCCTGGACTAACCTTGTACTATGATCCTTTGATCTTTACCTCCTGAGTAGCTAGGATTAGGACCAGTCCCAGCTTTTTAGGGGTGTGTGTGTGTGTGTGTGTGTGTTAGGTGTGTGTTAGGTGTGTGTTAGGTGTGTGTGTGTGTTAGGTGTGTGTGTGTGTGTGTGTGCATGCAGTCTCCTGATGTGTGTGTGTGCGTGCACGCACGCAGTCTCCTGAGTAGCTAGGAATTACAAATGCAAGCAAGTGTCCAGCTAGAAGTAATTTTTAACCTGTTTTCTTTTAATTCACCATTTGAATTGTGACGAAGTATCTGGATTTGTTTCTGTTAGTTTTTGTGAAGAAATACAATTTCCTAGGAAATAAACATTAACTTGTTCTACTTTTGACTTCCTATTCTTAAGAACAGTAAGATGTTCCAGAGGTTATGTTAGTTTGCTAAATTTAAGATTCTGTTGGAGTTTTTGTTTTATTTCAGATTGTTGAATGTAATTTTGTTTCACATTTTGGTACAACAACATGTGAAATAAGAGAGAATATCAGTATCTTGCATTTTGTCTCATTTTGTCTCATTCTGGATTAACTCTTGTATTTTAGTACAGTAATGTCCAAACTTGAAGAGTAAATTAGCACCTCTCTTCTCAATTGACACATCAGGACACACAGAACTTTGTTTTCTTATAGAGAAGGAAGTGCTGCTTCAGCCCAGTCCAGGAGCCTTATTTTCTTCTACATAAACTCCACACTGCATAATTTTTGGTTGCTGAGGCTTGTTGCAGACTAACTGGCCCCTCTCTATTGGACCCTTAGGGCTCCTCTGAGTTCTGCTTCAAATCATTTCTCTTGCCAGATTATTCAATAGTTACAGCATCATGTTTTAGAAAATGTCCATTACAGAGGTGACAATTTGTAACAACATTTATGCATTTTGTCCACTTTCTTTTGTTATTCCTAAACTCATGTATGTTTTATGACAGTGTCTTAGAGAAAGGCACATTTTCAAGATTTTTCTAAGGTACATGATGATGCGTCTTGAAAAACGTCATTGATTTTTCCAGTAGTTAGGGACATTTTCACTTATAAGTACTAAAAAGCTGTAAGTTGATGCTTACATTATGAAAATACTTGAACTGATAGTGAAAATAATACCTAAGTTTAATTAAAACTAAGTTCTTTTATTTTTATTTTAATTAGGGTCTAATGAAGAAATTTATTCGATGTTCTACACGTGTAACTGTGGGAACTATTAAAAAATTTCTAAGTTTAAAACTAAAACTTCCAAGTTCTTATGAGGTAAGTTAAATAATATCTACATACATGGTCATTTTGATCATTATGATCTGAAGTAAAATTGTAACAAGAAGTAAAAACTGAGGATATAGTCAATGTTTGTAAACTGATTATTTTCATGTTAAACTTGTAATTTTAAGGTGATACTTATATAATACGAACTTCTTAATATAGCCTATGAAAGTCAGGATGCTAATGCACTTGGTGTTTTAAAATTAAAGGAAATATTTGGAGAACTTAATAGTATTCCTAAAACAAATATCCTAATTAGATTCTCTTCGTTTTAATGCCAACACACTTTAGAGTATATCACTTTTTATCAGACTTTTTATATCAATTACTAATTTTGTAACTTAATCTTATTAGCATGTGAAAGGTTTTATTGTGATATATCTACATATACATAAAATTATTACCATGGGGTGGGGGTCATGGGCTTGAACTCAGGGCTGGGGCACTGTATCTGAGCTTTTTCTCAAGGCTACAGCTGTACCACTTTGAGCCACAGCTCCACTTCAGGTTTTTGAGTGGATAACTGGAGTCTCATGGACTTTTCTGTCCAGGCTGGCTTCAAATCATGATCCTCAGCTCAGCCTCCTGAATAGCTAGGATTACAGGCATGAGCCATTAACACCTGGCTAATTATTACCAATTCTGTATAGAATTCTTCAAAATGTAAAACAATTTTTATAAAAAATTGTTTCATAGGTGTTCATATTCAGTTCCATGTGTGCAAAAAGTTTGTTGGTTGGCCCTATGTAAAGCCTTTTTCATCTACACAAATACAGTTGTCCATTTTATCTATAGAAGAAGCAAATTACTCTAATATAGATCACAGCAGAAACATTTCAGAAAATGTTTATGATCTTAGTGAAGAAACTAGTGACATAGTGATGAAATATGGCTGTCATTTCTCACCTGCCCAGATGACAAACTTAGAACTTGTATTAGCTTCCACTTCCTCCCCCTTGGTTTTAATAGTAGCATCTGAAATAGCAAAAACAAGATCTGGTTTTGTGTACAAAGAAAGATATCAAATGAAGCATAGTTCTTCTGGTATATTTGCAATGACATTAATGACTATGAATGTCAAGAATAGACATCATAAGAGAAATAGTATTTGAACAAAGGCATTGGCAGAGAAGAAGCCTATGTGTAAGGAACATCTCTATTTTGAACTTAACATTTCTCTCAGATAACTAATTAGTCTGGGTTAAAACTTTTGTTATGATTTGTGCCTACAAATTTAAAAAGATTCCAGAGACATCACAGATTTTTATATTAGAAAAAAATGTGAAAAATAACACAGCTTAGTGTAAGTAAAAAAGTAAGAACCCTTGCTTCTTTGCTTGTGAATTTATAGATAAGAAAAAAAAGTTATTCACTGCTTTTAAGAGTTATTAAAACAATATCTGGGAAGTGTTTTGAAGTTCATATGTAGCATAAATCATCAGAAGATCAATAATTTCATATATCTGATACAATTAGGATGCTATTCATTTTAGACTTAAAGTTCAAAACTGTAATTCTGTCAGCCAGATCCAGAATAACTTAAAACTTATTTTTTTTCCTTCTCCACACTTCAAATGAAATTTTGCCAGTTACTTTTAATAACTGGAGTACTGCAATATTATTTTATTTATGGAAATTTATGATAAACATTTTCTAAATATGCTTTGTCATATTAGTGAACTGTAAACAAAGTGCCTGTAGCCTTCTTAAAGATTTGTTTGGTGCTCATAACTGAGAGCAAAGTGGCATTTTATAAGTACAATGTTTTTGAGGTTCTATACAAGGTAGAAAGAGGGTCCTGTAGGTATTATGTAAGCAAGCTAGGGAGACCACTTAGTCTAGAATATACAGACCTGTACATTCTGCTAAATGTCTGCTAGTAACTACTGAACGTTTTTATGTGTCTGTCTCAAAGGCTGCATAAACCACCATATCCTTACTCATTATCCTCTTTGGACTCAAACTAATGAGAAAAATTCCATCTTGGGAAGTCAAAAATATTCTAGCAAATAAATTCAGAAGCCAAAAGAACTGAGGAACTGTGAGCTTACTATAGTCTACTAATTAAGTAAGGGGCAGTCCCAGCCATAATTCATGGCTAAAATTTGAAGGCTATCCTAAGACGTGAACTTTGATACTGCACTTATAAGTTAGGTAGATGAACTTTAAGTGTGTATGGGAAAATAATGCTTCATGTTACTTAAACCTAAATTGTTAATCTGGGAAAAAGAAACATTTCCAATATTACTTACAATAATGTACTAATGTCGTTCTATTTGGATTTTTAAAAATGCATGATACCAGTAAATTCAAAATTACTTATGTTAATATAACTATTCTTTTTAAAGTTGGATGTGCTGTGCAATGGTGAAATTATGGGAAAGGATCATACTATGGAATTCATCTATATGACAAGATGGCGACTGAGAGGAGAAAACGTAAATTGCCTTTTTACTTATATTATTTGAATAGAATTATATATGTGCCACTTATATATGCTAATTATATATGTATATATGTATATGTGTGTATACATATATATATATATAAAATAACTATTAAAAACAAAGTAAAAATAACATAAAGCGAACATGCTTAGAAGAAGAAACTGCTTCCCTGGTTTCTCCCAGTAACCTGAAAATTGGTCCAAGTACAATTGGTCCAGTAAGTATGGCTTTGTTTTGTGAAGGTAAATTTAAAGTATATCAAAATATGTTCAGGATTCTGCTAACATCAAGACAGAGAAGATGACACATCTCTTTAATGCCCTATGACTAATAAAAACTTAAAAGACTATGGAATGGCAGGTGTGGGGGCAGGTGGGGAGCAGGTACACTTAAATTCTACTCTGGTTAATACCACTAATGGTTTGTAGGAGAATTCTTATTTGGGGCTGTGACATTGAACACAGATGAGATAGAGTCAGGATCATCTTTTTTTCAGGTACCTCTTTTACATCGAAAAGTATAAAATGTAAAATTAGTCTGGAGGGTAAGTGAACTTACAGGAGTTTCTGACGCAGATTTGGTTTATTCCTTTAGGTCCTAGCAATGTGGAAGAAATTATTCAAAGGAGAAAAGCTATTTTAAAAGAGAATTTTTTGTACTTTAAACTATATCTGTAATCAGGATAATTCTAAGTTTGTTTATACTTGACTTAGGTACGTGAGATGTTAGAGAAATTTGAGGCACAGGTATTGTATGATTTACATATGTAGGAGTAAGGAATACTGTAGGAATGTTGCTAAAATTTTTCCTTGTTATTTGAGTGCATGAATAAATCTTACTGATGATTGGTTAGAAAGTCAAACTAGAGAACTTTCAAGTTGACTTTATTAGGCTTTAGGATGTTGTTGTTCTTATGGTACAATGGGTCATAGCTTAAACTCTGAATTTTGTTTTTAGCTTATATTTCTTATCTTCACTGTTACATATCCATACATTTTATACTCTAATTTGATGATCCTGTTCAATAAACTTTTTTAGTACATCTTGGAAATGTACATTGAAATATCACACAAAATTAAGAAATATTACCTCCCCTAACAATAGATAGTGTAGAATATAGATAAAATGAGGGCTGCCATGTTCAGTAGTTCAAAAACATACTTACATTGAATGTAAACATTTGTAAGACTATTACAAAATAAACCACAAAACTTTTATGCTGCTCTGGTAAAATATTTGATTACTTTTCAGAAGAAATATCCTGATATATGTAATAATAATAATAATAATAAGGCACCTAACACTTCAGTCATTTTTTTCTCCCTGTTTGATTCTCCTGTGGGTAAAGACTTCCTTGTGAGGCTGAAAGCTTTATCCCCTAGCAAGACCAGGAAGGAACTTGTGTTCTAGTATCTGTCACCAACTAGTTGAATGTTCTAAAGATCTCATCAAATCACTTTTTAGGGTTTTGTTTTGCTTTGCTTTTATATAATTGTCAGCTGGCTGCTGGTGGCTCATGCCTGTAATTCTAGCTACTCAGGAGACAGATCTGAGGATTGCAGTTCAAAACTAGCCAGAAAAATTTGGAAGTAGAGCTGTTGCTCCAGTAGTAGAGTATTAGCCTTGATCAAAAAGAAGCTCAGGGACAGCACCAAGGCCCTGAGTTCAAGCCTCAGGACCAGCAAAAAAATATATGTGTGTATGTAATTATATGTATGTATATTAAATATACATAGATATTTGTCTTTGTATTTGGTAAATATGTCTTATTTTATTTTTACTAAGGGTTGTATATGTATTACTCTCATTTAATATTTACAATCAAAATATTTCAGGTACAAATTGCAGAGAGTAAACTTGGTGTCCTTGGGAGAATGGATATTTCAATATTACACATCTGATTAACATTGTAGTGAATATAATTTTAGCCTTCTTTGATAGCATTTCAGTATACTTTGCTGGAAATCACTATGAATAGGTTTACCTAAATTTCAAGAGATAAGATAGTCATCTCTGTGACCTCTGCCAGGACTCACCTGTCCTCCTCCAGATCCCTGCTGAAAAATTACCCACACTGTGTTATTTTACTGTCAAAGCTATGAAACACTAATTTATAGAATTTTTCTATCAATAGAATATCAGCTAACTCATCTGTTACTGTGATTGCTTTTCCGATCACACATTTATGAATAATTTCAATTCTGTTTCTTGGGGGGAGATACTTTATTAGTTCAAAAACTAGCTCAGTAATTGTAAGATCATTATAAATCTTATGCTTTATCATCCAAGTAGAAACTGTACTAAGAAAAATTACCACCTCTCACACTGAATCTGTTTTTGGATGTCAACTTCCACTCCTCATTGGTCCAGTCTTCCAAGTCCCAGAAGTGTTGAGATTGGTTGCTCCAGGCTGGGGCGCGGCTCAAGTGACATAGCACCTGCCTAACAAACCCAAGATCCTGAGTACTACCAGAGGTGGGAGAGAGGAGACCAAGAGAGGAGAGGAAGAGGGATAGGAGAAGGAGAAGAGAGGGTCCAAATACTATAATCACAATCTTAACACTCTGGTCCCAGCTACCCTGAAGTCTCCTTTTGGGTTCATCCTTCCTCACCAGCTCTCCATTCTCTGTTCTACAGTCAGAAGACATGTTACTACTCTGCCCCAATCTCAGTAGAGTTCACTATCACTTAGCTAAAAGCTGAAGTCCTGCCAGCTAGAAGGCTGAAACCTGGAGTATCAGCCTGGGCAGAAAGTCTTGAAGATTCCATCTCTCCAATTAACCAGTAAAATGCTGTACTAGCGGAATGGCTCAATTGGTAGAGCAACAGCTGTGAGCAAAGAGTGAAGTGAAAACATAAGGCCTGGTATCATACATATAACATTGCACAGATAGTCTGTTTTCCCTCTCTCCATCTCCCCCCTCTCCCTCTCTTGCCATGTCCTCCTCCTCTCTCCCTCCCTCCCTCTCTCTTCTCTTTTTTCTCCTCTCTCCTCTTTCTCCCTTCTCTCTCCCACTCTCTCCCTTTCTCCCCTCTTTCTCCCTCTCTTTCCCCTCTCTTTCTTCTCTCTCCCTTCCTTCCCTCTCTTTTCTCCTCTCTCTCTTCTCTTCTCCTCTCCCTTGGCTTATGTTCTCCAGCCACAGTGGTCTTTGGGCTTTCTCAAGTATGTCTGGCTTGCACTGCCTTCCCTGAGTTATTCATCCAGCCAGCTTGCTGTGCCTCTTCACTTAAGTAATTGTGCTTCTGTGTCACCTTCTCAAGAAGCTCTCTGATGTCCCTATTCCTACCAGCATCCTTAATTCCTTTCCATGCCTCTTTGTTTCCCACAGTGTGTTGTACTATATGACGCATTATGCCTCTGAGTTATATGTTTATTATCTGTCCCCCAACTAAAATTTTCACTTGTTCACTCATGAATCTCTAGCAGCTAGAGCCTGCCCAGAATAAATGTGTACTATATTTCAAAAGTAGATTTAAGCCAGGTACTGATGGCTCTTGCCTGTAATCCTAGCTACTCAGGAGGTTGAGATCTGAGGGTTGTGTTTCAAAGCCAGCCCAGGCAAGAAAGTCCATGAGATTCTTATCTCCAATTACCCATCAGAAATCCAGAAGTGGTGTTGTGGCCCAAAGTAGTAGGGTGCTAGTCTTGAGCAGAAGAGCTCAGGGGCAGCACCCAGGCCTGGTGTTCAAATCCCACAATCAACAAAAAAAAAAGGTAGATTTAGTGGAAATTTTCTGTTTGAAAGTAATATATAATTACACAAAACATAGCCTAAAGACAATTTCCTTCATTTGAATCTCAGTTTTTTCATTACTTCTGTTAATCTTCTTTTGAATTCTGGCTCAGGTTCTAGTAAGTACAGATTATTATGTTGCATGAGATGGACAGAGGCTTTAACATGGACAAATGCGGCATTAGTAGTAAAGCAATCTTATTTCTTAGGTACGTAACTACTAGCGTACTTGTGTGATCCCATCTTCTCCCACTCCTGCAATCTGTTGCCAACAAGTAACTAGAATGCTACCTGTAGGCATTGCTGACTAACTCTGCCTGGGCTTTGGTTGGCTAGTTTCCTAAATTTTTGACCATGTCTATTACTTTGTTTTTCCTCTAGTACTTTTTATCTTAAACATTTTAACCCACCTGAGATTGATTTCTTTTCACATATATTCATAACAATAACTCTTAATTTGTCCTAGTGACTTTTTAATCAGAAATACAATTTATTGAATTGTTCCATACTTTACCTCAAGGTTTTGAGATGTCACCATTATCTATAAATATCATATATACGTATATGTGTATATGCACATACACATATATATGTATGTCTCTGGACATTTTCTTTTATTATTTTGAGCAAGGATTACTCTGAACTAGCATTATATATTATATAGCATTTATGAAAATTGTCCATTTTAGGGGGAAGAAGTTTGCATAAAGTGCAAATTAACATGTCTTATGAAGGAAATATTTGTGCCTTTTCAGTTGAGTCATCATGTGTATTATGTATTATTAGTATTACTATCAGTGTCTGTTAGTATTAGTGCCTATTTGGAAAAAACTCACTATAATTATTAACTGGGTATTTTCACTCATTCTCTTAGATTCATCTTTGGCTGTTTGAGTTTGGTTGGTTTATTGTTATTATTGTTCTTCATTTGTGGCTTTTTTTTTTTTGAGACAAGGTCTCACTATGCATCGCAGGCTAGCCTTGAACTCAACAATCCTTACACCCAAGCTTCCCTGGATGAATCAACACGTCTACTTTCAGAAGTGTTTTTTAATGGGATTGTGATTGTGTTGCAGTATATGTCTACGTTGCTTTGGCTTGGAATTGACATCTTTGCAATTTTTCGTATTATTCAGTTCTGTGCACTGTCTCCTCTCCTGTTCTACACTGTCTTCAGCTATGACTGAGTAAACCTGCAGTTTTCTCTCCTCATTGTTTTGGGTACCACCACTACCCTATGAGTCTTTTGCCTCAGACAAGGCTGTTCCATGTTTAGAGCTTTCCTTTTCCTACTTGAGAATCCCCCGGGGAATTAGTTTTGCTCCCAATTCTCCAGTAGTGAAGCATTTGTCCTGTACCTTCTAGCTTCTGTGTCACTGTTTTCTTTTATCCTAGGGTAGTTCCACTGTGGGTTTAGCAGCTTTTCTATGGACTCACTGCCCTATCTGGACCTGAGACTCTATCATGATACAACTCTGAAAAATCTTTTCTTTAGGAGTCAAAACAGGGAGATATTTTTAGTTCATAACTATTGCCATTTCAATATTCTTAAGCTCGAGGTTGTTATTGACTTATTCCTTATTAGTAGGAGAGAAAAAAATAACTAATATAGCATTTCTCACCACAGGCTGGTGGTTCAAGCCTGTAATCCTGGCTACTCAGAAGGCTGAGATCTGAGGATCGAGGTTGGAAGCCAGACAAGGCAGGAAAATGTGTGAAATGCTCATCTCCAATTAACCACCAGAAAATCAGAAGTGGATTTGTGGCTGAAAGTGATAAAGTACTAGCCTTGAGCAAAAAAGCTTAGGGACAGCATCAGGCCCTAAATTCAAGCCCATGACCAAACCAAAAAAAAAGTATTTCTCAAACTTGAATGCAAATATAAGTCATTTGAGAATTCTGGTAAAGTAAAATTCTGACTCAGTAGGTCTGGATAAGCCTATCAGTCTGCATTTCTAGCAAATTCCCCAGGATCTTTGGGCCATCCTTTGAATAACAGAGTTTTAGGAAGCATGGTAGGTCACTACTGACTTCCTCTGACTTGTGCAGCTACATAATTAGAGTGTGGGATTACAAAATAAATCAGATCCCACTTTGGTACGGATTCTTGATAAGGGAGATTAGCAGAAAATAAAGAAAGGTTGGGAAGGAAGGAATGACAGAAGGAAGGATAGAAGGAAGGAAGGACTGTCTCTTTTCTCCTTAACTCTGTATTCCTATTGCATGATTTTTGCAACTTTATAGTTAGGCAAACTCTGATGGGCCAGAGATGGGGGACTCTTCCAAGAGAGTGGAAAAGGTCACTAAAGATCGCTGTTGAGCATGCCTTACAGCATGTGGATGAGCACTGGACACAAAAATCAAGGGCTAACATCTAGACAAAAAATTGTTGAAGTATTTTCGAGAATAGGAAAATGTCGTATACTATTTCAGCATATATCTTTTAAACTCTAGTAATTTAGAAATTTCCTGGTTAAGTTACAGCTCACTTTTTTAATGCATTTAATTTTTCATTGTTGTTTTTTCTAGTTTGAAGATCATGAAAATTTTTAAAAATATAAATGTAACATTTTGTAGTCCATTATAATTAAATCAACACAAGTGCAGTATATTTTAAAAATCAGAATTAGAGTTAATTCTTTAAATGTGAGGTAGTTTAATTATTAAAAGGCAGTGAATTTGCAAATGAAACTTCCTAGTATGTTTAACATAGTAGTTTTAACTCATTGACTTACTTAGAAAATGTTCATGGAATGGCTACCATGTGCTAGTTCTGGGCCTTAACCAATAAAATTACATGAATATGGAATAGATTCCAGGAACTTATAATATAATTCTATTATAATTAATATGGAGACTAAGAATTGAATCTGAGCACTATCCCTTATAGGATGTGTGAACTTGATGCTCACCCATAGCTCTGATCTTGAACAGTACTCTTTCATGGGTCATTTGGGGAAACCTAGGAGAGACTGATATCAAGAAGGGATAGGAGAAAGAAGGGTCCCCATGTACTAATAGGTGAGGATTTCCCAAGAAGTGATATTTGACAAAGAAATGGAAAGAGCAAGCCACTCTTTAGGTATTTGCAGAGCATTAAATAAATCCATAGATAGATGCTAAAATTAGTTCAAACCATCTATTTAAAAAAAAAAACAAGCCCTGCCATTTTCTCAAAGTGTTATTTAAAATTAATCATGTTAACTCTTATGTTTGACATTGAACTATTTTAAATAATCAGTTTTAAATATGTGTCCAGTTGTGGATGCCTCTTATCTGATGAGTTCGTCTCCTCCGCAGTTTCGGTGTCTGAACTGCTCAGCTTCGCAAGTCTGCTCTCAGGATGGCCCTTTGTATCAGGTAAGAGGCACTCACGACGGTACATATGCCCGTCCCCATGCCTGCAGTGATTGCTCTCTCCCCAAACTCGAGCTCCTCAGGCATGTCACTTGGTAAAACTAATGTCAGTTTTATTTATTTTTCAAAATTTAAATACTCTTAAGTTTCCCATTATTTTAATTCTCCTGAATTGACTTGTTAATTGTACTGAACTAAAAAAATGAAATTATATGTGATAAATTCATTACTTATGTGTCAGGAACTTATAGTAATTACTAAGTTCAGTCCCAAAGAAATCTCTGAGCCATATTGGATTAGGTTATCTTCTTTGTGTAAATACTTTTCAAGTGAGTCATTCCTCTGTCAGAGTCAGATGAAATGCTGGATTAGTTAGCTCTAAGTAGCAGCAAGAGATTCATTATAAGCCCTAACTGACTTGTGCCTCTTAAAAATAAAATGACAATGAGCTGTTTAGTGATATACCAGGAAAACCTGAATATGTATCTAAGGAAAGTTTTATCTAATAAAAATACATTATTATTTGGAAAGATGAGGCTAAATACAGTATAGTAAGCATTATTGTTTGGTACAGAGATGATCTATACACAACCTAATCTCTGCAGGCTATACACATATAGTATAAATCATTTGGTGAATAACTAGACAATCACCAAGTTTCTCAGTAAGCTTCTTTTTGAATGGTCTGGTTTTATTTGTTTTGCATGGTCCCTGAATGATGTTATAAGTACACAAATGACTCTTGGCAGAAAATAAGATTCCTACCTCTGCTATCCCTTGTTCCTCTTATTCCAGAAATTAAAATAGTCCTTGTCTTATTTTCTTATAGCCAATAAGAAATTGTGAAACAGTTTTAACTAGTAAACTTCAGTGTTGTGATTTGGAGATTGGGAAAAAAATTAATCTATTTTAGAATTAAAAGAGTACTTCAATTAATCAAAAAATTACCATTTTATCTAAAATTTCTTTCAATATTTTGGTCATTTGAGAATGTCTCGTTACAATGACAGCCTTTTGGTATATAATATTTAAGTCTTAGTTTCTTTGAAATGGAGTAAGCTAATATAAGAACTACAAAAGCCAAGAAAAAAATCATTTAGGAAAGTGTATTATCCTTCTTGCATTACACAGATAAGGGCAAAGGGTAAGCAGTAATTTAGTAGAGCTAGTGACATTCATAAAATTTGAAGTAAATACGTACTTCAGCTATAAGCTTCATGACTGGTTTGTGGATGGTGAATCATACTGACAAACCCATGCATAGGTGGGTAGTGGAATAAAAATGTTCTTAAACTCTGATCCTAAATTTTAAAGAACTAGAGTAAGACAAAATTTCTAACTTACCCTGATTTCCTTTTTTTGTTTTCAACAATTTTTATGGATAATAGTCTTGTAAGAAAATTGACTTAGCATTCTTCCAAATGTATTTCACAAAGACAACTTAAGTATGATAGCAAAAACTAAGGGATTCTGAATTAGAAAACTAGTGCTAAATTTCATTATTGATATAAATGCAAGATGGTTAATAATACACTAACATACTAAAAGAATAACAAGGGGTGGAGGTATTGCTTGGATAGAGAGCACCAGCCAGTAAGCAAAAGCAAACATCAGATAGCAAGTTCAAATCCTATTATCAGACAACAAGTAATGATAATAACAAACCAAGACCTAGTAGAATTTTTATCAGAAATGCTAGAACAGCTTGATTTTGTGCAAAGATAGTGGTAGTCGGTAGACAGGCAGACACAGGCCCATGTTTTATTTACACACAGTGAAAACCAGCAGTAGATATTGAAAAGGTACTTGATAAAACTCAATGTTAAGTACTGATTTTTCTCTATCAGCTTCTTATTTTGAAGTTTTTTGGATCAACAACAACAAATGATTGAAACAGTTATTTCAAGAAATATTTTTAACTGGATTATTTAACATTTCACTATATTTTCTCTTCCTCTTGCCATTTCCTTCTTTTATTATGTTCTTTATATGCATCTGGATTGGGGATTTTTTTGTGGAACAATTTAAAAATAAATCACATATCAGGAAAACTGATCAGTAGTTATTTTAGCATGTATTTCCTAAGAACAAAGGCCTACTTGTGTGTATGTAAAATTCTACTTCACACAGAAGAAATTTAAATAGTATATTGAAAAGGATAGAAATGTTAGTTCTCCTCATGATTAAATTATGAAGTTAAATGTAAATCCAAACATACTTTTACCAGATTCTTTTTTGACTTGAAAAAAGTCATTCTAAAGATCATCAGGAAAGACATTTTTAAAGTGATTGATAAGTAGACACAAGCACCACCACACACTAAACTGTGTTATTATAGTTAGAAATCAGGTTCTAACTTACATGTAGATATATGAGGATAAAGAATAGCTCAGTAGATATACGAGGATAAAGAATAGCTCAGTAGATATACGAGGATAAAGAATAGTCCAGTGATACCTTTAATAGGAATACCTCTAATGTACATATGAATCTGTAAAGATAGTATTTCACATTAATGGAGAAAAAAATTCATTTAACAAGTACTGGTCCACCTTTCTAGTCCAAGGATATAGAAGTAAAAATGAGTACAAGTCTTTTATCTTGTGGAACTTACACTCTGGCTGTAGCAGACAAAAATCAGGCAAGTAAATTTTAATGTTGGAAGAAAATATAAAATAGACAAATAGTTTGTAAGGTACCCAAAGGAAGCCTCCCTCTTGGATATATGGTGTGTTTTGGTCACAAGGAAGTGAGAGATGTAGCCATGTTAATATGTGGTGTAGGGCACTTAAGAAAACAACTCTGCAGCGCTCAGCTGTAGGTTTTTCTGATTGTTGGAGAATGGCAAGGAGGCCAGGGATGGAAGACAACATAAAAAAAAAAGGCAATTCTGAGCTTGTTTTCATGAATTGTACCAAAACTGTGGCAACCAATGCCTCACTTAAGTTTCTGTTGGTTTAAAGCAGTATATATTAAAAATGAAATCATAACAGCAAGAAAATATAGTTGAAGAACTGATTTTGTAGTGGGCATGGTCTTTCACTTTTCGTTTAATGTAAAAGAAAAGACTGAATTACTGGTTCATATTGATAGGTACCAAGTAAGAATCTCATAAGTAGATATTTACAGTGTATGTTAGATTGATGTTGTTAATACATGAGGAATTTGTATAAATCTATAAGACAAGCCTAACTTTGCACGGAAAAATGAACAGCACGTGACCAAGTAAGTTAACCCTCCCCCCCATTAAAAGTGGAATGCAATTGGCTATTAAGCATATATAAATGATGAATGTCTTTAGAAATCAAAAATGAAAAAGAAATAAAATACCATTTTCTCTATTAAGTTGCCAAATTAAGAGGGAGTATGATAATAGTACTTATTATTGACAAGGCACTAGAGTAGCAGGCACTCATACAAAAAAAACAATTATTGAAGACCAGTGCAGCAGTGTTTATTTAAAAGCCTTATAAATGTGTCTGTTGCTTGAACTAGTAGTTCCTCTTGATCTTTGGACCAAAATCAATTTATGAAAAATAGAATAAATTCAAATAGACTGCAAAAAGAGATAGTCAACTTATGGTTCGTTTAACAGTGTAATATGCAGCCATTAAAAACCTTTTATGTGAACTTTAAAACCATAATATATGTATGTAACCTATTAACATTCTATTGCTTAAAAATTGGCATTATCTATTATAAATAATTTACCTGCAAAAAATAATAAAAATGATCATTCAACAATGCATTAAATGGTATAGAAATACATGTGTGGAATTTCAAGTGGACTACTTATTTGCCAAAGACATGGTTGTTAGCATGAGTCCAGTTATTTTTTTGTTAATTTGTTTAAATAAAACAAAGGACCTGGATATCAGAGTACATGCCTATGGTTCAACTGTTCTGAAGGTGATTAGGGGCCTGCCTAGACAAAGTTAGTATGAAACTGTAAAGAACAAACTAGAAGCAACAGTCTACCACTGAAGATACCTGTAATATTTCCTAACATTGTTATATTTGAAAATCTCTATACTTGGTTTTTATTACACAAATGAGATTTTTTAGGACTAAGAAACTCTATGAAATGTAGGTCCATTCAGTACGATCACTTAACACAGATAATAATATGCGTATTCCACCATAGTAAATGTTGTTCATTTACTGATTCAGAAAGCAACTAAAAAGCAAATAGAACTTGAAGTATATCTTAAGAGGTTTTAGTATTCTGCCACATTTCAGTAAAATTAAACCTAACCCATAGAACAAACACAGATTGTTTCTTGGAAGAAAAAAAAATCAAATTATCTTACTCAAAAACTGAGAAAATTCCAGCCAATGACAGCCAAGTCATTTGACTTCCTTCTTCTTTCATGTGTAATGGGAGGTAGATATTTCCATGTATATGATTTATATTTTCTAACACAAGTTATACCTGTGGGTTGGAGAGAGCTGGAATGGTTATTGGTGAAGTTATGTTAAGTTATAGCTGCTAGTGGTCTGAGATTAATGAGCTTCAGAAACACCCAGAGAGTATTATAAAATGAAGAATTTTTTGTATGTACCTTTCTTCCACATAATCTGATTCTGCAGGAGCAGAATGAAATTAATAAAATTAAAATCAGAATAATTTAAGATAATGGAGACCATGAGAGAAAGACTTTTTTTCTGTACCCCTTAGAAAGCTAGTAGTGGCACCTTCCTTCAGTTGGCAGAGCTCAACCTGGGATGTGATTATTCCTACCCTCCAGTCCTGTCCTGAGCTGAAACATTGAGTTGTAAATTCAATATGTAAATTCAGTATGCAAATTCAAGATTTTAGGATCTCAGTGTGACCCTTTTAACTACATGAAAGAATTGGAAATTTTGCCCTACTAAATTTTTGTGTTCACTAAGATAAAGATGTATTAGGGGCTATCTGAGTCCATTTTTACTTGTTTGTTTTGCTGGTCCGGGGGCCTAAATTCGGTGCCTGGTCACTGTCCCTGAGCTTTTGTACTCAAGGCTAGTGCTCTACTACTGGAGCCATAGCTCTACTCCTGGTCTTTTGGTAGTTAATTGAAGATGAGTCTCACAGACTTTCCTGCCTGGGCTGGCTTTGAACCACCATCCTCAGCCTCCTGAGTAGTTAGGATTACAGGCATGGGCCACTGGCTCCTGCCTGAGCCCATTTTTAATGAGCCAGATTTTTATATGGTCATTTCATGTATTTGACCTACTCTTTGACAACATCCTTGGCCTGAATGATTTTGCCATAATCCTTATACGCTTCACAACTACACACTTCATAGTCTTTTCTCTCAACTATTTCTGCACAGGTCTACCCAAGCCCCTAATTTCTTCTTGTCATCAAACTTTATTAGGTAATTTGGAACTCAGAAAAAGGCCTCTACAAACTTGACATATGTAGACTCAGGACAGTTCCACGTATGAACATAAAGATGATCTTGGGCCTGCGCCAGTAGTTCACACCTATAATCCAAGCTCCTCAGGAGATTTAGATCAGGAGGATCACAAGTTTGAAGCCAACCCAAACAGAAAAGTCCATTGATACTTTATGTCCAAAATAACTAGGAAAAAAGCTGGGCTGGAGACCTGGCTCAAGTGGCAGAGCACCAACCAACACTAAGCCTGAGCTCAGAACCAGGGAAGGAGAGGATGATCTTGGTGTTTATCCACTGCTATAGCAGTTTTGTGAATTCCAAGTGCTAGGTCATCATGGTAGAGAGAGCATGGATTGGTCTTCAGCCCCTCTCGTAAAGCAGTATTTGTACTTATTTTACCTCCAGAAGTAATGCCTTGCTGTGTTATGGTGGTGGATCACTATGCAGTGAGCAAAGCCAAATCTTGAACACACTGGAGCTTTCAAGCAACTCAGTGACATCGGGGGAAGAGATCAGCCTTTTTTTGGGGGGGGGAGGGGGGTACGGTCATGGGGCCTAGACTCTGGGCCTGGGCGCTGTCCCTCAGCTCTTCAGCTCAAGGCTAGCGCTCTACCACTTGAGCCACAGCGCCACTTCCAGCTTTTTTTTTTTTTTTTTTTTTGCTTATGTGGTGCTGAGGAATTGAACCCAGGGCCTCATGTGTGCAAGGCAAGTGCTCTACCACTGAGCACCTTCCCAGCCCTTAGCCTTTTTCTTAATACCAGAAAAGTTCCTTGAAACTGATTTTAAAACGGGAACCTGCAGCAAAGGAAAATGATTGCTTCTCCAGACCCTTTCTGACTGCTACTTGGTTTGCATAGGGAAAGGGAAAACAAAGGTCAAAATAAATGCACAAGTGGCATGACATAGACCTTCTAGGAAATTCTTTCCTCTTAGGTTCTTTATAGTAGCCATGTGCATGGTACCTTTTAATTATACTGTGTAATAGATCTCAATATTTAATGGCATCAACTATCTATTGAAAGGAGGCAAGGACCTAAACATTTCATGTAACAGTTGCTTGTATTCTAATTCTATAAAAGACCATTGAAATAAATGTTAATGCTAAAAAGAATTGTAAGCATGGTAGCTTGTGCAGACTCCAGTTTCACAGATTCAAAAATGGGTCTCTTGTGAATGTGTCAGTAGTTCTCACCAGCCCTGGAGAATCCAGCAAGCCATATCCTTGTTAAACCTGAAAGGAGTGCACATAGCTTGTGGTCCTTCCCAGGCCCTGCCTCTCTCTCACCTTGGTCACATACTCAGTGTATGAAGTCTGTAGGCATTTGAACTTTGATCTCTGGTGTATATTAGTGTATTAGCGAAAACTTGACTGATTCAAGAAAAGTAATGGCAATCAGAAGAAATAATGTTAAAAGTGATACCTTTACATTTTAAATGACACCTTACTATCGAAATCACTACCAGTACCTAGGAATATTATAAATTAGAACCTCAAACTCTAAAAAGAATATTTAAAAGGTATTACCTTTTGTATGTAAATTGTATTGCTTTTATGTTAACATAGTCTGTTCACTATTTTTATTTTATAGTCATACCCTATGGTATTGCAGTATCGACCAAGAATTGATTTCGGTTAGACCAAGGAGCCTAGATTTGACTGAAATGAATCCTGCACTATTTGTTTACTCGTCGACAGATTGCACAGTGAAAAAACGGTGTGTGGACTGGAGGGACACAATCAGATTTTTGGCATGCAAATAAGGCCATTGTCTATCTCTGTAAGTTGTCAGTTGCATTCATGTTTCTATTAAATGCAAACCAAGTGCCATTCTGCTACTGAACCATCTGTGTAAGGTATTTGTGTTGTCTCACAGTGTGCCAGTCATGACTGAAATCAGACAGATGTGCAGCCATGATTCAGCCTTCTGAATATTTTGCTTTGCCCGTTCCAAGATTGTTCTAATGTTTAATTACACTAGTAAAATGGCTCAGTCTTTGTGGTGTTGCAATTTTCACATACTTAACTATTTTATTAATTCTTGTTTAAAGAGAGTACTGTACAGGAACCTACTAATTATACCTGGAAATTATTTTGTATGGGAATACATTAAGAAAAGTGGTTTCTAAGCCACTACCCTATTCTTGGAAGCTTTTCATGTAAAAAAGTAGTTTATTCTTGAGTGTACAAGTCCTTTTGTGAAGAATCCCAATTATTCCTGAGATCACATCATTATTGTACACATTCTAAGCTTCTCTGTGTGTAGTCTACCAATTGCACAAGGAAGGCCTGTTAGCCCTCCAGGTAGAAAATGGGGTGTGACTTCTTATACACTTGAAGATAGATTCACAACCATTTGAATTGTTGGCAGCTGATTACATTTTAGGTAAGGTTAATCTTTCATAATGCCTTATGACAAGTGGGTGCGTCGCCATGCACCTCACTGTAAGCCTGTTTTATAGGTGTGTCGTTACACTGTTGCTGTCGTTTAATGAATACCTTGTTTTTAAGTTGGCCTTAGATGTGTGTCCTTGTGGCATCCAGAAGGTGATATATGAGGGTTTTCAAATATTAGGATTTTTAGAGCAGATAACATTAGCTATTTTGTGGATTTCAAAAGTCTCAACGCAGTTGTAGATTAAACTTGTTACCTATCACATTTCCAAACCAGATGCATAAAATAGAATAATTTGCAGCATAGTAGATGAATATGCTAGCCAAAATTAATGGTTTTGTGGTACTTTATTTTAGATACTGTAGTAATCAGGGGAAAGTGGGATTGTTGTTTTATATATGGCTTCATTAAATGTCAGAGCTATGATAATGTCCTTGATTTTGCTAAGTCTTTCATTCATTTTGAAATTAGTCTGCAAGCCAAAGTATGGTTATTTTCAATTACATGAAAAACTTCATTATAAACCTCTTAAAATGTGTAGTTGTTTTCAAAGACCTCTTTGAAAATTGCTCTATCAATTTTTTGAAACAAGTTAACCTCTGAAACTTAGAAAAGAGTCTTGGAAATGAGAAATGAAAACTATTTGCTTTAGAAATCTGACATGAGCGCAGTGACACTGCATACATGGCTTTAGGCTATGTTCTAGAATAAAATGTATCACAGAGTAATGCCTTCTGATATCAAGATGCTTCATAGAAATAAAACATTGTAAAACATACACATGCAGCTCAATTTTGATGTATTTTGTAATATAAAAGGCTGAAAGTTTGGAAATATCTTTTCTGAATTGAACAATTCAGAAAAATTTGAAGTTTTCTGTTCTGACGTCTGAAGGTTTTGGCAGTACTTATGAAACTCACTTTGTTAAACTGTGTGTTCTTGAAAGGGTTCACAAACAAAATTTAACAGGCAAATTTTAATTCTTTAAAACTGAATTCTTTGCTTTAAAATTTTATTTTGCTGTGAAACCTAGTTCCTAGATATTCCTAAGAATTTTAAGTTATTATCATTTGTCACTATCATATAAAATCGTGTTTTACATATGGAAGTTAATTTTAATTGACTGAACTCAAAATGAGCTAAGTACATTCTGAAAACTGAGAGTATATTTTAGGTACCTGGCTCCCTTGCCAATACCTTGCCAAAACCTGTGGACATAAATGAGTTTTGCATCTAAGATCATTTGAAATTTAGCCTGTTTGTCCAATCACATGTAACTCCACTATTTTCCAAGGGAATATATAGGAAAGAATTCTGGAATTAAGAAGAGTTTATATAATTTCCTTCATTTAATGTTAATAACATGTTATTGAAGTGCAATGGAATATGTGCCAAAATACATTAAAAGCTGACAAATAAAGGTATCAGTCATCATTTGGGAAAAGGTACACAATTTGTGATGTTATAAACAATGTGGTATTGCTGCCAGAAGCATAGACTCTTTGTCCTGACCTCTTATGTCAACTATGAGTTTCTCAGAATGGGACTGCTTGTCTGCATTCATACACTAAATTCCCAATTAGTTATCCCTTACATCAGGTTATAGAATTTATAAGAAGCTAGTATAGAAGAAATGTACAGATGCCTTTTATGGTTAGCTTTTTAAATATAGAATGCTAAAAAAAATTCTTTTTATAAGTAACCTATAATTATCTAAAGCTGTAAAATCAGAAATAAGCCTAAATTAAGCTATTCTTTCATCTGTTGTTTCTTAAGAAATAAACTAAAAGAACTTTGCTTTCATAAAAGATTTTATTCGTTTTAAAAATCAAATATCAAAGGGTAAATAACATCACCTTGACAGTAAAAAATTAAATAAATAAATAAAAAGGTGAAGAAATCTTGGATATAAGAATGCCTATGGTTTTTACATATCACCTTAAACTGAAGTAATCACACTAATTAATAGGGAAATCATAACAAGGCCCTTTCTCTAATTTAACAAGACACTTCTTAAGCAGCAAGAGGAAATTAAAGATTTACTGATGAGGTACTGTTCAGTATGGGATTTGGGTAATTTGGGTATTGTCTCTGAACTATTATTAAATATTATTTCTTTATTCATTGAACATCTGTCCCACAGGAATATGCCACATTTTATCAGTGTAATGAGTTTGATCAACTATATTATACACTCAAATGTTACCTAAATTTAAACTGATTCTTTGAGAAAAATGTATGTTGTATAATATTGTGAAAGTGTTTAGCTTTATTGGATAATTTAAAAGAAGTGCCTCATTGCAAAGTGCATTTCTGTTGTAGACTTACTACACAAATTTTGAGTTATCTGCACCTATCTCTTATGAATAGTTTCATATCTAAATAAGCACTTGCAAGTTAGAGTGATCTTTTTAAAAGATTTTCATAAGAATATAGATAATCACCAAAGATATTTTACTGTAAATTAATAACCATGTTGGAAAGACAGTTTTAACAGTTTAGTGGTTGTGACTTTTTAGATGACAACTTAATGTTAGTATAGGCAATAACCTTAATTATTTGCTAAAATATCACCAAAGAAAGACTTTGAAGTGAATCTTCTTGGTGAGGTTTTCCTTGCAGTACCCAGAACACACTTCTTCTCAAAAATATTCACTGTTTCTGCATTATTGATAATTCTTAGGAATTCCTCAAATATGAGAGAGACACACAACAAATAAATGAAACAAGCAAATGAAAAATTGGAGAAATACATATTTTTAAACAAAATTGAAATTGAGATCTTAATTTTTTTTGGGGGGGGGGTCCGGTCGTGGTGCCTGAACTCTGGGCCTGGGTGCTGTCCCTCAGCTCTTCAGCTCAAGACTAGCTCTACCACTTGAGCCACAGCGCCACTTCCGGCTTTTTTCTTTTTGCTTATGTGGTGCTGAGGAATCGAACCCAGGGCCTCAGGCATGCAAGGCAAGTGCTCTACCATTGAGCCACCTTCCCAGCCCCGAGATTTTAATTTTTAAGAAGTGTTTTTATTGTGTGGAGGCAGTACAAAATAAATTTTAATTATTTAGCTCCTGGGCTCTTAATAACATGCGACATTTTATTGCAGAGAGACTTTGATGAAAGTGCTGATATGCTTCTTCCTTGTGTAGAACATAGTACATTTTGCTGGATTTACATAAGTGCTTTTTCTATATTCCAAAGCAAAATTGTCATAAGGATTTTTGTTCTTAAGAAACAACTCTGACTTGTTTCTTTTTAGTGACTTTATTGTTATTAGAATTGTTTAGCCATATAGCAAAAAACATTTGACAAAATGGATCACAAAACAAGATCAGGAGAGATGTCCTGTTACACCAGCCCTCTGTGGGAGTCCATGCTGTGGGGTTTAATCATCCCTAGGATTAAACCTTTGTCACAAAGTCTTCTCTGACAGGTCACTGGGTAAGCCTCCTCATGCAGGAGAGAAATGGCTGCACACTGTATTGCATGCCCAGGTCAAGCAAGTGCTCTGTCACTGGCTACATCCTCAACCCATTATTCTGTCATAAGGAGTTTTCTAGGAAACTAAACTTCGTTAGCAACGAGATGCTGACTGGTGGTAGGAATTTCAAAACTGAGTGAGTTTTGCCAAAACTTATATAGATTTGAAACACAAAATATCTAAACTACTGTTACCATTATTTTAAGATACATATCACTAAAGTTTGGAGAGCAATAAGTAATGTAGCATGTCTCTTAGATCTGGTTCATGGGACAGTTGAAAAATATTTAATACACTAAAGGCTCAGAAGCCCTTTCAAAGCACAAACAAGCAGGCATTGCTGGGTTGACTTGATATCCTAGTTCAGTATCTTCATGGAAAACATGAATTTGAAAGGTCATAAAAATGTATTTAGTACAGAATTTTCTTGTGGTTTTTTTAAAGCAAAGTTAATTTCTGATAATTCCGAAGTGACTCTCCTCCTTTAACACAGTCCTCACAAATTGTTTATATGCTGTCCTTGTTTTGTTCAAATAGAATTAAAATGCTTGAGTATTTCCTCTTCAGGAAATTAGACATTTAACTTTAAAATAATTACTTTAAATATTCATGTAGTTGTATCTATATACTCAGTTTCTATGATTTTCTGCCCCCTTTTTCTATGATTTAAAACTGAAGAGACTGATTCTTTCAGAAATATCTCTGAAAATTAATTTAAAAAATGATAAAAAGAAAATACTCTCTGAAAATTATCTTTAAATCTAAAATGAAGTGAAACAGATATATGTGAAAAACTGGGTCTAGTTTTCTTTGATCTTACAGAGTTTTGTAGAATAGGAAACTAATCCAGAATAACATAGAGTTAGTAACCAATTAATTTATGTAATTAACTTTTCATCAGTCTACTGGAGCAGGAGTTCTATACATTTAAATGTGATAGTATCAGCTTAACATTGTTTGGGGGCAGTTTTCTTTCTTGGTGTCTTTTTAGAATAGGGGTGGGAGTCTAAGTGTCCTTAATGAAGCTGTGGTCCAGGACAAAGAGCTTGTGGAGAAAGTACCAGTGTTTTGCTGCTTTCCTGCATCTGACAACACAACATACCAGTGATCATTCTTACTTAGAGTAGCCCTCATAATAAAGCTATCATAGCATATATTGTATAAAGTTACATTGCTAGTTTTACTTTGAAATATAAAATATTTTAAGCTTTTTGTCAAAAGTGGTAACATCTTAATACAAATAAAAACCTTTTTGTGGTTGTAAAACTTAGCTTATAAATCATTCAAATTGAAGTGAAAGAATTCCCAGGTCATTGTTAATGACTTAGTCTATTAAGAATATATGTATTTTTGTAAAGGAAAGCACTTGTAGATATTTAATCAGTACAAAATATATGTCTGTTTTGCAGAAATAAAATGCTGCTTAGAGATTCTCTTTACATATTTTTTATTTTTGTGCTCAGATGTATTTTCTGTTGATCTATGGAATGTTGTGTACAAAGCTGTATGATTGTATTGTTGGGCTAGATACATTTTTTTTAAATCTGGGCTTAGCCATGTATATTTGACCATGTTAAAAATAGTATCTTTGTTATTAAAAAATTGATTGCATAATTTGTTGTTTGTCATTTATTTAATATTAATAGCCTGACATTGTTGTAGTAGTTTACAATATCTCCTTGAAGTAGTATTCCCTTAGCAAGTTTTATTGAGCATTTCATATAGAGTCTTGTGCTATTTGGTCTTAAGATGACAGTCTTTCAATGAACATCTTAGGTAAATGTGGTACACACACACACAGAGTTGAAGGATTTCTGATTGTACTAATCAAAGTAAACAAAGACCAAAGAAAGGTCAGGGTGAATTGAAAGACATCTGTTTCAGCCTTTTAGAGGATTTGGCTTTGTTTATTACACACTGAGCACCTACTGGCTAAAGCAGGCCCTGTAAGGCCTAAGTCTGGAAAGTTGTAATGAGTCGTATTTCTATCCTGTTACTTATAAGTGAACCCTGAAGGTGGGCCCTTCAGTGCAATGTGATCCAGCAGGATTACCTTCCTACCATCTTTTAGCTGCACTTTTCCCCAAGCTTGCTGTAGAATGAGTTTGAGGAACCTTGTATGAAAGTGCTCCCGGATAATAACACACACTCTTCTCCTCACTTGTCATCAGCCAAAACAGAACATGGTTTACTGTGCAAAAGACTGGAGGACATAGTGAAGCCAGGTCCCAAGCAGGAAAACATGAGTCACACTTGAAAAATGGTTTTGTCAACCCAGCCTTATCCCTGATTGCCTCGCT